AAGCAAAATATCCCCAACCAGGGAAAGGAAAATTTTGAAATCTATAAGTTCGGAAATGTAATTATCAGCATTCTAAGCATCTGCTCGCAGGCTAAAAATACAGCAAACCCCTGTAACAAACAACCGACCATGTGTTGCTTTGTTGGATAGTACCCGTGAAAATGATTCTTTAACCAAACAATATCCCCAACTTGATAACTTGTCTCAAGGTCATCATCTATCTGACAGTGTAACAAAATTTATGTACAAGAATTTACATCCTCTCCTTGGAGAAAAATGATTGAGAATTGAAAGATTTAATATAAAAACTCACTTGTTCCTGAAAAGCCTTGAGATACTCCTCCATGTACTCTTTATTAAGCTGGCAGAACCGCTAAAAAGAAATGTTTAAGGTTAAATGGCTAATGAATGTGAAGTCTTGCACAGGAGCTGTGTTCCCCTCGCTCACACCCATACTACTTTACACCCCAGGTTGGATTGAGGCATTGTGACAGCAGAAGACCTTACCCAAGAAAACAACACAATGATCCCTCGCCAGAGCAAGAACCCAGGCCTTCCCATCCAGAGTTCAGAGCGTGCTAATCAAAGCACTTCTGCAGTCTGAAGTCTCTGATCGAAAAATAATCCAACAAAGATTCAAAACGAAGAGAAGAAAAGCCGAATAATTTGTACAGTTTACAAGTCACTAACCTGGGCCAGGAGACCAAAGAATTTCTCATAAGATCTTTGTTGAGAACAGCAATCGATGACCATTGTACAGAACTCAGACTGTGAAAGAAGTAATACAAATATTTATGAACCATCACCTCAATAACATTCTAAAGTATGAAGTAAGGAAACTTTGTAAGGGATGAGTTGATTCCAACAAAAAAGAAAAGGAAGATAATATTACTGATAATTATGATATGATAAAAATAATAATTCTAACGAACAACGAAACAAAGCAGCAGGTGGAACATGGGGCATAAAATCAACAGAACACACTAATAGCAATTTTTTGGATTGAAAAAGTTAGGAACCAGCTCAAAAGCTTCCAGCATTTCTCCAAGCCTCTAATAACTTACCATTTGTTCTGGTTTAATTTGCATCTTCAGCAGTTTGTGGGCACATTCCTCGTAATCCAAACTACAATCACCCAAATAAAATACACCAATTAGACATGAAAAAAGATAAAGAATTGCAATACTATTATCTCAAATCAAATGACACCTGTGTGGTCTCCATTTTGTGACAACACCAAGAATTCATCACTATGTAGATGCAAAAGATCACTTTTTCTAAGGAAAAAGTGATTGCCTTGAAATGGGAAAAAGATATCCAACATACACATCCCTATTGTTTTGCATGTAAGAATTAAATAATTTCCCCCAAAACAGTGGATCAATATCCTTGAAAAGTTATTTGAGTGTCTCAACTCTTGATTCTTAATCCTTGATTCTCTTGCTCCTTGCTTTTTCAATCCCCATGCCTTGATCCTTTGTAATCAAAAATGATGTTTGCCACCATGAAAGTTTTACTTTAAACTACAGTCAAAAGAGTGTACCTGGACTGAATGGTGAGGTATATCGTTCTTCTCAAAGCTACAAGATTTGTTTCAGTGTGATCAATAATCTCCATTTTTTTGTCATCTACAAAGAAGAAAAAACACAACTGTTGTCAGAGGAAGAATCAACGCTTGCCATCTCTGACATCTATTTTTCTTAGCTACAACAGGAAACACATGCATGAAACAGTCTGTTTGGTCTTGGTTTGAAGCCATAAACAGTATAAATCCCATAGTGCTCTAAGGACAAATTGTAACTTCCCTCTTCAAAGTTAACAAAATGAAGTTGGACTATACCTTGGCCCTCGCCTTCATCATCGTCGTCATCATCATCGTCATCATCATCATCTCCATCAGAAGAATCATCTGAGTCTCCTTCTCCAAGAATATCTAATTTCAAATTAAAATAACATAAAGTTAGGAACAACATGAAATTTTTAAGAATGTTTTAAAAATGATAATTTCTCCAATATGCAACTGTTCAAAAAATTTACCCACCTCTTCTGATTTCTTTGTATTTCTCTTCATTTTCCAAGAAATTTGGATCAAACTTGAAGACATCTGATTAAAAGATGCATAGAAGTAAATGAATTTTCCACAATTGTCAGAAATAAAATGTTCTGAAAAACACTAGTTCATTAAATGTCATTTGACAGAAGACCTACTTAAAATGTCCTCTGGATTTGATGCTTCCTCCAGCCGCAATAAATGAGTGATTTGATCTTCCTCTTCAACAAGGTCAAGTTCATCAGGTACTGCAACATGATCCTAAAAAAAGGACCCCTACATTTAACATTGTTTTAATCAATTAATAATATGAATATTTAATAAATACTTACAATTGCTTAAAAATTCTCTCTATGATTATCTCTCTAGGAGCTCACATTTTCTTCTGGATTTAAATTTTTCAAAACTGTGAAAACCTAAATCTACAGAAAAAAATTTGAGCCACAGGACATCTTTCAAAGTGTACTTTAATTTATATACCTACCTTAAATCCATCCTTTCTTACAGCAAACATCACTTCAATCATGTACTGAACTCGCTTGTCAATCTCTGCATTGTGAAGAATGTTCCGCAGCCTCTCAAACACAGCTGTCAGTCAAATGAAAGGACAATTAGCCCAAAAATTATTACCATATGAAAGTTCTATTAACTAAACAATATTGGCACAATTTGGAAGATCTTTCATGCTAATCAGAAGCTGTTAGGGGGACAGTCACAGTATCAATAAGCTTAAAAGATAAATATACCCATAAATTTGTCACTGAAATTTGTTGCAACTGTTTAACCCTTTAACTCTCAAGATCTAATTGTTACTTCTCCCTTCTAACTACTACACAGTTTGTTGTATGTTTGTTACAAGAATTTGGTGTTAGGTCAAGATGACAACTTCTACCTGATAAGTTTGAGTATTCTCATTACCTGTTTGCCAGATAATGTATGGATATTATCAGGAAAAGTTAATAATAATCACCTCTGGGAGTTAAAGGGTTAAGAGATTATGCTTCTAAGAAACAGTGGTGCTGCATTGGTAGGGGTATTACAAGGTTTTATTTACTGATGATGATAATGATGATGATGATGATGATGATGATGATGTAAATCAGCCAACCGTTAAGAGTTTCAAAAGCTGGCATTTGGATCACAAGCCCTTCATCAGACAAACCTACCATGAACACCCCTGGAAGATACTTCAGTTAATTTCATTCCAACTTCTTTCAGGAACCCAATCTAGAGAACAAAAATTAAAAATCACAGTTTCACTTAATATTCAATTTCACAAGGTGTGGAAGAAACTAATTAAGGACAAATACTCACTGCAACTTCAACACTATCATCTGTGGGTTTGTGTAACAATAATGTCAGGATCTCCAAAGCTAAAATCTCATGGGCCTGGAAAAGAAAGGGTCACGCTTATCAGATACTGTAACTTGATGAGTAAAATGATAAAACACTTCTAAGAAGACTCTGTACTTTATAGATAAATATCACATATGGAATTTAATCAACATGATTATTTTTCAGTGAGAAAAACTTTTATTATCTAACTGCACTAAGAAGAAGACAAATAACATGTGAATCACTTTTCCTGCCTTATATGAAATTCACAAAGTAGTTGCTAATAAATAACTTTTAGGATATTTTGGGGTTTGGTACTGCTGAGTATTTTCACTTGTTGTTTGCATTTCGACTCATGAAAATACAACAATTTGTAAAAATACTCAGTGATAATACACACCAAAATGTCTAATAAGATATATATAAACTAACCACTTGTTGGTTGACCAAATGAGCTATGAACCTTGTGGATGATAAGCACACAGCCTGAGGAATGAAAAAGAAGAGAATTTATTGGGCCCTTGTGAGAGTTTGGTGATTTTAAACTTGGGATAATACATTTTGTAACTTCTATGCAGGTGAGGATCACACTCAAGCTTCAGCAAGGCTACTGGAATCACATTGCTCCAAGCTGTGACTGGAACGGTGACAGTTAGGTGACGTTAAACTTGAGTTAATACTAGTGGCATAATTTTTCAACTTCTACCCATGTAAGGAACACACTCAAGCTTCACCAAGGCTACCGGAATCACATTGCTCCAAGCTGTGACTGTTCCAGTCACCATGACAGGTACAAATTCATATTTAAATACATTGTATTTGTCATGAACACCTGAAAATTATCAACTGAAGATTGTCTACCTTGTCATTTCTTCTGTAAGCTCTCCTAAACTGCAGCACCAACCGACGCAAAAGAAGTTCACCATTTTTAGGAAACTGAAAACAAGTAAAAGGATATTTTTTAATTCATTGTAACATTAACATGCAATACATAAAATACATTTTTGTTGGACTAAGAAGCTAACTTATTCTACAAAAATTACCACTAATATTACTTACAACTGCATTACAATAACTTTCAAAACTCTTCAAAAAAGATTCTATGCTGATTTGACTCGCTATATTTTTTCCCTAACGATGCTTTTTGGCCCAAAGGTTTCAATGAACTTGATAAACAGACCAAAGAAACAACAGACATTCTCTGCTATTATTGCAACATTGGTTTTTGCTCAGTTTCCCAACAGTTTATAATTATACATTCAGCATGGAAAAAACGGACGAGTTTCTATGGAACTCTTTTGTCACACTTACATGTAAACCATGTAATTCACGAATGTACTGTACCTTTGTGTTCAAGATGGCTACAAGAGCAGCATAAACATGAGTGAACGTGGGTGACGCTGCCTGTGCTCTGATAATTGATTGACAAAGGACACCCCTACAACAGAATGTAAAATGGTTAGGAACTCATTACATGTGAAAATCATCAGCCACACAACTCCATAACCATGTTTGACTGAGCACTGCATATTTTACTCATCTCTAAAAGTCACACAAGACAGATAAATTGCATTTATGTAATAATCTTGACTCAAATTAATTCTGATTGGTTGTTACTTAGGATCTATTTGAAGACAGATGCATCAGATGATGTCACCGTACACAATTTTTGCTTCTTTGCTTCTTTGCTTAAGTATATAAATCAGATGGATTCCATGTTATCTTGCGTCTGTACAGTCATAGATCACTGAAGACATCAAAATATGGTAAGAACATCACTGACACACTCTGCTATACTTCAATGCGCCAGTTTTTTGTTCTTACCAAATTTTGACATCTCCTGTGATCTATTATAGTACAGATGTATAGCAAAATGGAATCTACCAGTATTTGTGAAGAAGCACACACTGTTGTCATACCTTCCTCTCACAATGTTTTCTTGAAAAAGCTCTCGTACAATGTTGCCAATGTTTGATGTGTTAACCTAGGTAGGAAAAGGTGAAATATATGTTTCCACATGCCCAGATGTATACCAAAAAGATTAATATATACCACAGACAGACCACATTTAAAATTTGCTTTTGTTCTAATTGTAGTCTTTTATAATTATGCTTCTGTTTATCACTGAAGTCAACCTTTTAACCCCTAAGAGTGATTAGCATCTAATTTCTCCCAACAATATCACACCTGAATCACACATTAAGGTCAGAAGAATATCTAAAATGATCACCAGCCAAAGAAGCTCTTGATTATTGAACAAATTCTCCCTGTCAACACTTTGGGAAATACATATAGAACAGTATGGAGAATATGCATACTGATGTTATCGTGTACAGGGTTAAGCCCAGTTGGCTGGGTTTGCTAGTTGGTTGGGTGACTGGACATACATGTAATATCCTGAGTTGTTGACTTTTTTTTACTTGTCTTCATTTTGCAATTTCATTCCTGTAATTTGGAGAGTGAATTTACTATTTTCCGCCTGTAACCAGTCAGAATTATAGGTAACTACCAATACATCCCTTGTTAACACATCCAGGTGTCCTGTTATTAAAGAAACTGCTCTATTGCTAAGAGACTTGACAAAATGATCAGCTCTGTACCTTGTTAACAAGACCATTGATACTTTTCTTCAGAGCTTCCCAGCTGATACGCTGATAGGCTTCACTGTAAATAACACATGACATATGGTTAGATCCAATTTATGGCTACTTTCCGTGAAAATAAAACAACATTTAACTCAATGTTCATTTCGTATGTAAAGCTGATTGATGATATGGTAGTTTGTCAGAATATTGTCAAGCTATTTTTTTTACACTTCAACTTGAAAAAGAATACAAATTATATTTATTAAGCGTGTGAAGATTAACCATAAGAACAAAAGAGGTAATAATAAATCACAAAAAGATCTGGGATGGCTTATGATGAAGAAATTGACTTTTTATCTCTTACACATATAAAGACTTGTTTGGAATTATCATGTTTGATTTTGTGAGCATTTCACAAAAATTATTAACAAAAAGCCTGCATAAACCTGTGCTGCTAAACTGGGTAAAAACACTCCTATATATGCTATAATATTAAAACTTCAAACTGAAACTAGATGTGATTTGCTCACATATCCGTAATCACTAGAAGGAAAACCTAAGAAATACCAGGTAAGTATTCCAAGAAATTTTTACCTGGAAATAAAGAAAATCTAGTTTTTAGCCTAAAAAATTAGGGGTCAACTTATACACAGGTAAATACGGTGTCAAGGAAGATTGCACTTGGCAAAGTCCAAAACAATTAGGCCTGTTAATTCTTGAATATGAACAAAAATACTACGTAAATCCTTCAACTTGCTGTCAATAAAAGCATCGAAGAATCAACCATAAAAGGCTTCAATTATGAAGAAAAAGAGAGTGAATTCTGACTTCATTTCTATGTATGAACGAACCTGCTCTTATCTTCAATGCCTTCCTGCATCATTTTGAGTCTTGCTGGTGGAATGTAAGCTCCCCCTTCAAAGAAAATTTAAAGAAATCATCATAGTGTTCATGCCATCAAGCTTATTATAGAAACAATTATAATAAGCAACTATTGAATGAGGTTGAGCATGATATAATAGTAATAATAATAATAATAATAATAACAACAATAATAATAATAATGGTGCGCTTGGTACAGTAAGGAAGGGGATGGTGGAAAACATGAAGAAAGTATCACAAGCAGCTATTGTGACAGAGATTCAAAAGATCTGCATGCTGGGATCTGCACAAATCCTCAGAAAGGTGCTTAGTGTTTGAACAGAATGATTGACTAGGTGCGTGGTTTGTGCCAGCTGGTGCACAAAAAGAACACCAGCAAAGACCGTGATAGAAGAAATAATAACAATAATAATAATAATGAAGGATTTCTATAACGCCATATCCATTGGCTCCCGTTCCTTTATAACACTTCGCAGTTTGACCAGACTGCATTGAACAGTTTACACTTTTTTAAGGAAATTTTGCAGATGCCCCTAATTTCAGAATCACAGCCAGACCACATCAACAGGAACTACACGTACATGTATGTTCCCTACTCTTATGAAAAAAACCAAGGCCTGAGTCCTCTACTGAAGCCATAGGCTGAGGCAGACAACAAAGACATGTGATTTGAGGTTTCAAAAGATTGAGAACAATACATAGACAGGGGGCTTAGAAGAGGACTAGAACTAGGCAGAATTAAACTCAACAAGATGAATGCAATATCCGTGTAGATATTAGGTTTTACCATGTCAGCCTCACACATCATTGCATAATTATCTTGACCTATCAGATTTTCACTGTATATGCATTAATATATACACAACAGGTAAATAATGCTTTTCAGGTACTCTGATTAACTGGTTCACAAATGATTAGTTAGCAATATTCACCTCTGAGCAGTGGAAGAGACAAAATCACATGCCAACAATTTAACTTCTGACCATTTTTGGTATAATGACAGAATTAATTAAAACTAATTTCTACTGTTAGTCACCTCCCCTTTGGTATATAATTGTTCATTACATTGAAAATCCAGCACCAAAAACTGTCACTTGTGTCAAAGCCCAAAGTGGTATTGACAGTATGCATGTACATAGAAGAAGTAACATAGGCATGAAATTCATTCCAGAATGAGTTTCATGAACCCTTTGACTTGTAGGAATAACTACCATCTATTTTCTCCTTACAATATCACCTCTGAATCAAACAATAAGATCAAAAGAATAAAAGTGAAATCATCACCAACTAAAGAAGCCTTTGATTGCCAAACAAGTTCTCCTTCTTAGCACCTTAGGAAATGTATAGAGAGTAGTAGGGAGAATATCTATACTGATCTTGAGAAAAAAGTGTTAAGAAGTATAGTCATGAGAGAATAAATGACAAGTCTCATTTTCAAATATACTGCACATTAAAGTACAATTTACCTGTTCTTGTCAGGAGTGGATTATTTGTATTTGCCTTCTTTCGTACAACCTTTTCTGGCTCTTCAGTCTTCTCTGTTGATCCTTCTTCTTCTGGCTGTTCTCTTCTCTCATCATATTTACCTTTTTTCTCGGCTGGATTGCGATTGTCATACCTCTCATCATCTGAAGGTGTATCTTGCCTTCTTCTGTCAGATCTACGCTCTTGCCTTTTTCGCCGATCCGCACGCCAGCCACCATTATCACCATCATCATCATCACTGCGACGTCTTCGATTGTCATGTCTTTCTCGCTCCTTATATCGTTCTGAGTCATATTTCTTTCTTTCTTTCCTCCGCTGAGATCTTGTGTCATTGTCACTATCACTTTGTTGCAGTCTTCCGTGGTATTCCTTTTCATCCTCATCATCATCATCACTCCTGCGTATGTTCTCTTTATCCTCGTTAGCTTTCCTTCTACCAAACAAGAAAATACATGAAGTCAGGCCTTCTGATGGTAGAGAAAGACAATGTCCTCTCTTTAATCTTGTGACCCTCACTGCTTCAGCTTATTCAGATTTCCAAGGTATAATCAGATTAATCATAAAATTCTGCAGCACTCAAAAAAGCATTTGTGCACTCAATTCTCCTTTCTACACAAGAAAACAGCACTGAAGGGACCGACAAACCACTCTTAAGGGGAGGGGGGCACATTATTTTTTGCAATGGCAAGAACAGGGCCAATGGAAATTAGGAAGACAAAAATGATAATTTATCAGCACTGCAGCATAGACCTGTGGTTTATTTCCTCCATTACATATTATTTTGTTAATAGAAAGAAGAGAAAACACAACCAACGTCGTTTGAACTCTTTTAGATTCAAACCTTCCCAGAATGAATTCAAACTACATTATAAATGAGTGCATACTACGCCTTGAACGTTACAGGCAAACGTGCTTTGATAAGTTAAGACAATTTTTCCAGTTCACCCACTGCATCAATCATATCGATCTAGATCTTAAAGTAATAAGATATTAATTTGTTTCTGTACTCAGATCGTTTAAATTATCACTGAGTTACCAAATACATAACATGCTCGGTCATCATAAACTTCACGTACCTTCCTTCAACCGGTGATCTCGATCGAGACCGCGATCTCGTTATCCTCGTGCTTGGAGAATTGGAATGCTTTACAGTCTTCCCACCGAAACAAAAAGAGAATAATTTTCATCAGACACGATTTATTCAAAAAATACCTAGAACCTTTACAAGCGATCTGACATAATCCTCAACTAATCTTCCAACTTCATTTACTCACCTGAACTACGCTGCGTATTCTTGACCTTTCAACCTCTGCCATTATGATCAAAAGTTACACAAAGGTTCCAAAAAGGACGTTATAATAGATTCATATGAAAAAAGAGAGATCTTTGTGTTGTGTGTTACCACATATTCGTGGCTAACATTCACGACGTTGACTTCGCTAGAGAACGCTTTTTGCTATGCGACCGAGCCTCACGTTTGGACCGAGTAAAGACTGAAAAAGACTAAAGAGGTAGCAAAAGCATCTGGCTGAAGCTTCACGCGACCGTGTAGTCGCGCGCGTTACATTACGTGGAATTTGCATGATGTGGTCAAGCAAAGCTGCTTCGAAAGAGGTCATGC